ATAAAAGTTAGTATCGCAGCCTTGCAGCCCACATGGCAGGATATGCAGCACTCCTTTCTCTCATTATCTCCTTTGTGTGCCAGGTCTCAAGCAGATTCTTCAGACATCCAGTAGTTAGATTACTGACTAGTAACTTGTTGCCAACATGCTGGCACCTTGTTGCTTAAACAAACAGTTAAATCTTCCCATTCTCTCACTATTCACCCTTTCACACAAATCCCTCTCATATGCAGGGTGTGACAGTAGTATTGTTACCAGAGCCCTTCTATTGGTGACTCTGCCCTCCTGTTGTGGGCCAATCACCTGCTTACTCATCAGCCATGCCTTGATCTTAGTTGATTAAGTAATTGATGTAATTAGTGTGAGGCTGACCACTTTATGCGCCCTGGTGCCAGGCGGCACTATCTGCAGCTCCTTTTCCTCCCCTACACCGCAGCCCAAGCCTTGCAGATGGTATTGATGTGGTTTTAACCTGGGCCCTGCTGTGCTTTGGCCCTCTCCTTGACTTCCCTGGGGCTGCTCGTTGCCCCCTTGCTCTAGGGCCTCGCACTGCCCCCTCACTCTGGGGCTTCTCACTGCCTCCCTTGCTCTGGGGCTTCTCACTGTCCCCCTTGCTCTGGGGCTGGGGTCACTGCACCCCAAAATGCCACGCCCTCCCTGGCGCCAGGGTCCCCATGCAACTGTGGAGCCCCTATGAGTCCTCCTCCAACCCCTAATAGACTCACCCGGTCCTCCGGTCAAAACAGTGAACACAAAAACACAAAGCCCCTGGCCTATAACATAAAAAGCTAAACCGTCCGGCCAAACAACATTCAATCTCTACTGGGAAATACTCCAGCCCATAGCAGCAATCAGGGGATGCTCATACAGTCGGGCTTCTCCCCTCTGTCTGCACTGGCGGAGCTCCTCCTCCCTTGGCTGCCAGAGGGGAACTGCCCTCCTGGTCTCATGCCTGGGGCTTAAGAAGGGCTAGGCCCTGCCCCTTTCCTTTCAGCTGCCTCCCCAGCAGTTGTCCTAACAACCAGCACCTGAGACTCTGGCTGCCCTGGTAACTGGCAGCTGGGCCTCCCCCTTCTTGCCACTAGGGGTCTCTCCCGAGCTGTTTCTGCTCTCAGGGGCAGGGCACCTGAGTGCTCTGTGACACAGAGCCATACAAAATTCATTCACTCATGCCAGGCAAAAAGGCAAATACAAAATGGAGTTTAGTTATTCATAAAATACAAAAATAAATGTTTATCAATTCAACTATCATTTAAAATAAAACTAACACACACTGTGTTAATGCATAAAAATGAAAATAACACACAATGTTAACACATAAAATTGGAACTTCAGACTACACCTTTTTCTTGCCCCTGCTCCTTTCCAGGTGTCCCCTCCCTCTAGTGTCCTCCACTGGCCTGGGAGCTCAACCATATGCTGCCCCTAACCTCTGTCCCCATGGTTTGAGGGGCAGTATATCTTTCCTAAATCCTAGATCTGCTCATGTGTGTATCTAACAATAAGCATATCAGATCTTCCATTTTTAGTTCCATATGCTTGTTTGCATCTAAGGACATACTAAATCTAATTTAGATTGTTAAGGACCTGAATCATACACATCTTAAAGTACTACCTCCGTCAAAACAGGGATGTGCTCCTATTTAGGGTAAAAAAAGGTTTAAAAAAATCCAGGTGCATTTCAGTAAAGAAGTGCTTCAGTTCGACTTCATACATTTCAATATCCTCTAGAAAACAATAAACACAGAGATTTTCCATGTTCATACATTTGCATTTGTTATACTGCCATTAGCTGAGGAGAATATTGCGTTGCTCTGTGGGACTCTGTGGCCTTTGTCACTATCTAGGTTTCATACTTCATCTCCCTTGGGAGGTTCTTATGATGTATAGGTTACTTAGCATTTTGCAGTGTGTGAAACAATCCAGGGAATGCTAAGGCATAGAGGGCTGTCTTAGAATAATGGTAAAATGGCTATTATAGTTACACTGGGTTTCTGTCATATACTCATTATTAGTTGTTATTATGAAATTTATATTAGAGTGGTGCCTAGAGATCAACATTGTTCCAGGCACTGTACAAATTAATTGAAAATGACAGTACTTGCTTAAAAGATATAGCCTCAAAACCACACAACAGACTGATGAGACAGATAAGTAGGGTGGTGACATAGGCAGGTAAAACAAGGTAACAAAAATAGGATGACTAGTTTTTTAGCACATTTGAAATAGCAGTCACAACTATTGCCCTGCTATTATCCGGTTGCAGTTTACTGTATGCAGTTTACCCATGTACCATTATAAGTCATAGAAAAGAAAAAAAATAAGGACGGATTTGAAAAGGCTAAGGTGGTGACTTTACATTGAAAGGTTAAAAAATCCAGTCTACAAGGAAAACATTTTGAGTTAGAAGATCGGTTTCTCTCAGACGGCTGATTCATCTGTTTTATTGTTAAGAGTAAACCAAACCCATAAACTGTACATATTTTCTTCTTAAGTTTCTTCTTGTTAACCTGTGTGCATAAAACAAAATATATTATGCACATCTAAGCAGGATTTTCAAGGACAAGTATAATCTATAAGTACAGTGCCACTGGAAGCAGAACAAATTCAGTTTAGTAAACTTGTGAACTGACATTCATTACAAAAAATGTGGTATATAGCTTGGCTCAGAGGTTACTGAGGTTTTAACAGTGTGGAACCTTAACCAGTTCCCTATTAGGCAAAGTTACTTATGGTCTCTTTTGCAAAAGATCATAGGGAAAAATAATAGCCTGTCACTACAGTAAAAACCATTAGCTTGTTGGGAAAATTCCAAGGCAGACTCGCTTTACCTTTGCTGCAGCAGAAGCCCCATGCTGAGACTAGAGGTGTCTGATTGACCCATCATCGCTGCTGGAAGCCTCTACTCTTCTGCTAACCTTGACTCATATGACCTCAAAATAAAGTGCTGATATTTTACAATTCATGACACAAAAGAAAAGGAAAAATGAAAGTGGAATATATGATTAGGAATATAATTTTCAACCACTGCTGTCTCCTGAATGCCTTAACTCTGTGGCACCAGCGGTTTCAATGTATCCGCTATCAACAATGGGCATTTTGCTAGGAAAAACTTGTTCCTTGTAAGAAAGATTAATGAGGACTTGGATAGCAGCCTTTCTCCCTTCAAATGGCATGGAAAATGCTAAAATGCCTTTTAAATGTCAACTTTGGGTGCTGGTCCTCATAACCTAATTATAATCTAATAATATATATATATCATATTGGACAGATCCCCAGCAGATGTAACTTAACATAGTCCATAGACATCAGTATAGGTACACCGGCTCACACCAGCAGAAGAATCCAGCCTAGAGTATATAAACACATGTACAAAACATAGGGAACCAATATGTAACTGTAGGAATTTAGATATGTTTATTCATGATTATAAATAAATAAAAATGGTATCTACATGGCAGAATGGACTGGATTAATTAATTTGCTGTGGTTGTTTTCCCCTAATTCTCAAAATGGATTTACTTCTTTGTTGTCTCTTTATGAATGATTTTATTTATAACACTTGTGTGCATTGTTTTGGTCTGTGAAGATGCTCTCTTTCTAGAGGAGTAAGAACAAAGCTCTGTAAAAGTAAATGAGTAAGTGGATTTTCCCAAACAACTGACAGCGTGAAAGGGTTATAGCGTGTGTGTGTGTGTGTGTGTGTGTGTGTGAAGTTACTTCGCACTTTGACATATTCATCTCTAATATGTTTTCATTTTTTTTCCTTGATGTTGACTCCTGCTTAGGTACTTTAAATGCTTCCGCTGATTTTTTCCTTTTACTTAGCCTTAGGTCATTCTGTTCTCCCTTCATGAATATTTTCCACATTACTTTCCCTTCAATTTAAGATCATAAATCTTCCCTTTCTTGGTATTGTCCTATTATTCTTGATAACCTGCTCCTTCAAACAATGCATTAAATTATATTGGTTTAAATCCTAAGCTTTCATGGCTCAGGATTGGCTTAAGGCTCCAGTGGCACAAATGGAACAAAAAATCAAGTATATGGTCAGCCATCTAGACAGTCCCCATGTGAGTCAGCTATTCCATGAACATTCAGACTTCCTGTTTCCTCTTATCTTTCCATACATATGTACCACATTGGGAGCAGGTTTCAGTGCCACCACATTGAACTCCAGATTGTTATTTTATCCATTTGCTATTTTGGAGATTGTTAACTGGCACAAAGCAGTACTGACTTAAATACAGCTACACCAATCTGTATGAGCTGGGTCTCTCTCCCAGTCTTTAGATATTTGTGTATAAAATAGCTGACTTCATAAGGTTTATGAAATTACTTTATGCTTATCTCTGTTCCCCTTGAAGCCTCTGCTAATTTCCATAGGATATTTATTAAGAGTACCTGAACTGTCAACAAGGCTTCACTTCTTTGTTGCTAGATGTGCATCTCTTCACCTAGGCAAAGCTCTGGCTTCAGTCTGTCTTAAACCTTCTGGCCCCCCATCTAGTCAGGGAAATGGAGGCATGTAACATTATTACAACAAATTCATAGTCTGTTACAGTCTGTCACAACAGTGTTTAGGGCCCCTAACACAGTACTGGAGGTTTTGGATTTGATAACACTAGAAACTATTAATCACAGCAGTAAGGATGACCAGGACATTCAACAATTGCCAACGCTTGCCATCTAGTAGTATCTTTGATGCATATTTTTCTTTTGTAATACATACTACTTATTTCCTATTTCACATGACCTAGTAAAGACAAGCTGTATATCTCTAATGGAAACTATGTCCTACATCCTGTGTTTATAAGTGTCTGGCTTTATAAATGATCTATCAACTGCAGTGTCCTGTCTCCTACAATGGCAAGTACCAAATGTCTTAAAGGCAAGCATAAGAATATGGAATAATTTCTCTATAGAAAAAGTTTCTCCAATTTTCATAAATTTGTGGCTGTTATACTTCATAATGCCTCAAGCTAAGTCCCTTATACATTTTTCTAAGCAATGTAGCCATAAGTTTCTCATTATCTTTTTCAATCCTTCTTTGAATCCTACTATATTTTGCCTGAAAGACATGACAGTTTTCCTACAATTATCAGGGCCAATTACCAGTGGAATCTGATCGTAAAATGATGTATACAGTATATGCTGTGAGAGTTTAGGGTATTAATTATGATGTTTCACCAGTGTTGTGCAGCTGATCAAAACTGCAAGCCTTTAGTTATTTGAAGCATTGTTCTGTGAAGTAAATATTCCAGATGTGTCTTTTAAAAAAGCAGTGTTTGATCACCTTTAAGTAAAAATGGAATTTTGTTTCATTGCTCATTTAACTTCTTGCTGAGGCAGACTTGATTTTGGATTTTGTAGTTAGAACAGAACCTCTATACTTTGATTGTATTTTTTCCCTTGTAGTTTAATTCTTTTTTCTCTACTTCACAATATTTTTTAAAAGCTATTTATTTCTCCTATTCTTCACTAGCTGACATCTCTGTTCATACCACTCTGAGGTATTTCTTTCAATAGAGATAACATTCTAAACCACACACTTCAGTTCCTATAGAGCACATTTGCATTTAAAATGAATCTTATTTCCTTCATATTTGTTTTGCTATAGGATGGTTCACAATATCCTGATGTCTGTTTTCTCACCTAAATAAGATGTATTTGCCATTTTAGGTCACTTACATGAATATTATATGTCAAGATGTTATAACTTTTGCTTTTTACTTAGAATCATAGAGAAGTAGGGCTGGAAGGGAGCTTGAGAGGTCATCTAGCCCAATTCCCTACCTAAGGCAAGACCAGACCTATCCAAACCATCCTGTGCAAATCCATTGTCCAACCTCTTAGTAAAACTACACAGTCAATCCTGGTACAAAACGCAGGACATAAAACCCTAAACTTGCCACAGGGGACCACAGCAGACCACAGCACCTAACATCCTCCTGCTGCAAAGGTTGTTAATGTATGCTCAAGAGATTCCAGGAAGAAGGCCATAGCCCCAACTACAGAGGAAGGCAAAGCCCCCTGTGGTGCATATTGTAGGTTCAGATTCCTTCCTGAGCCCAGATATGGTGATCAGTCTGACTTTGAGCACACCCTGCGGTCAGGAACCTCTGGATTTAAGACCCAGCAGGGGCACTGGCACAGACAAATTCTCCAGCCTTGGCTGCAGCCAACCCCCAGTGTCTGTGAAAAGAGCTTTAAAAAACACCATATATGTGTAGAAACCGGGGAAAAGGGAGGGAGCAAAGCACAGAAGCCTGGGGAATAGCCATAGAAGAACATAAAAATAATTACATCTACATCATCCCTGACCAATGGCTTCTTTGACTCTACCTTTATTTTAACCCCATTATTATTATTATTATTATTATTATTACGATTATTATTGTAACAGGGCCCCAACTGAGACCCTGCTACTAGAAGGACGTGGAGAGCTGAAGACAATTACAACTCATGGGGAGGAGGTGGGCCCTGCCCATGGAAAACCAATGAGGCCCAGGCCCGAAGGATAAGAGGGAGACAAGGCAAAAGAGAAATTGCCTTTGGGCACTGCAAACTACAGAGACACCACAGAGGACGCTGCTATGAAGGATCCAGAGGGTGGATCCTAAACGCGAGAGTCCCTACGAGGACGACGGAGTCCCGGGACCGGCTACCTCCTCTCTCCATACCTGGAGTCCACAGAGACGACGGTGAGTCAGGGAGAAGCGGAGCCTCACCAGAGGAGAAGCCGTGGCTCTGGGCTAGCACGTGGTGAAGGTACTTGGGAGAAAAGGGGAGCAGGGAATGCCCAACCCGGCCCTGAGGAGGCAGGGATCTGGCACCTCGCACCTGAAGAGAAGGGGGTTGGGACAGGGGACCCCTAGCACGCGGCGAGCCCCACTCCGGCGAAAGACATGGCAGGAGAATGTTAAAGGCGCTGCTAATAAGCCACTGATGGGAAAATTAGCCGCTGATGGGATAATTAGTGACGGTTACCAGGACTTTGTGCAGTACTTACCTGTTGTATGAGTGGACAGGGATTGGCCAGAAGGCCTAGGGGGTCCCCGAGATCAGTCTGTCGGACTGCTTCCTCCTCCAAAGGGGGTTCCTGTAAATAATAAAAAGAAAAGAGCTTAATAAAAGCACCTGCATTATATCCCCCCCAATCCAGCGTGGTACTTCCTGTGGGTACTCACTTAAATAACACCCTCTTCCTCCCTATTTCTATTAATATCCAAGTCATGGCAGGAAAGAATCAAGAGGGGGTACTCTGTGCAGACACACTGACAAAGTGGTGCACTGCCCAGGAACCCGGAGGGCTGGGCGGACTCTATGGATACGCAGGTACCCACAGACTGGCAGCAGGTGCACAGCCTCACACTGAGACTTCTCCAGGGTCAGCAGGCTCAATTGGAGGAGATGGTGAGAATGTGGAACCAGGAGATGGAAGCCAGGATCCAGCTGTGGGCCTGTCAGCAGGACCTTTGTGAACAGATCGCAGCCCAACAGACCTCCTTGGTAAGAGAAGGGGGCGGGCAAGGACTGCCCCAAATGATGGGGGAAGATGATGCTGAGGCCTACTTAGAGGCATTCGAATGGGCAGCAATGGCTGCAAAATGGGACCCGGGGAGTTGGGCTGCCAGGTTGGGACCACTCCTCATTGGCCTGGCCCAGGCTGCCTACTGGGCCCTCAGTAGGACTGAGGCACAGGACTATAGGAAGGTGAAATCTGCAATTCTGTATGGATTAGAAATTTCACCAGAGACACACCGGCACCAATTCTGGGCCAAGAAGGGACCCAAAGGGGGCTGGCCTCGACTGTTAGCCCAGACCCTCCGAGACCTAGCGGATTGATGGTTAAGGCCAGAAGAGCATAATTCTCAGGAGGTAGTAGACATGATAGTGCTGGAACAATTTTTAACAGATCTTATGGGTAGTGCCCAGAGGTGGTCCGGTGCCATCAACCTAAGATGGTGGAGGAGGCACTCCATCTAGCAGAAGACTATGCCGCAGGAGAGGTGGAAGGAGAAACACCCAAGGGAGAGGGAAGCGGCGGGCCAACTTCTGCCCCCTGACTGAACAGCACTGCCCCTCCTAGTCGAGGAGAGGCCATACGAAGGGAGGGACACGCAGGGGGCTACCCTGAAGTGAGATGTTACCAGTGTGGGGAGAAAGGCCACATTTCCCGGTTTTGTCCTAGGGCAGTCCGCGATCTCAGTCCCAGGAGGGAAAGGCACGATGAGAAAATGGATTGCAGGAGTCCACAGACGCCAGCAAGCTGCTGATGGGATAATTAGCCACTGATGGGATAATTAGTGATGGTTACCGGGACTTTGCATGGTACTTACCTGTTGTATAACTGGACAGGGATTGGCTGGAAGGCCTAGAGGTCCCCGAGATCGGTCTGTCAGACTGCTTCCTCCTCCAAAGGGGTTTCCTGTAAATAATAGAAAGAAAAGAGCTTAATAAAAGCACCTGCATTATACCCCGATCCAGGGGTACTTCCTGCGGGTACTTACTCGAATAACACCCCCTTCCTCCCTATTTCTATTAAAATCGAAGTCATGGCAGGTGAGAATCAAGAGGCTTGGGGGGTACTCTGCATGGACACACTGACAATTATCATTATTATTAATATTATTATTATTATTATTATTATCTGTTTCAGTATTTTTTGCCTGTCCAGTTTTCTGCCAAGGCTGATGCTAGACTACTGAATCATTCAGTATCTCACCTGAAAAGTTTTGAACATTTGTTAACTTTGATTATTGTTGTTTCCACTAGTGAGGACTGTCTGCTGAAATCATGATCCATATTTTAATTTGTCTCTTTTCAAAGAGGAAAGAGAAAATCTGTTCTTTTATTTTGTGTTCAACTCCTTCCAGATATTCAAATGATGCCATAAGTCTCAATCTACATTGTTGTTAGAAGTCTTCTGGCCTAGTGGAAAGGGTTCTTTAACCAGTTTTGTCCTGCAGCTAGTTTGCTCTCTTAATTTCACTGATCCTTTCCAAAGTTATAGTTATTCCTAATTAATATGAGTGCATTCTTCCTTTTGAATTCTGCTACCACAAACACTTCAATATAATCCTTACAAATGTAGGATTAAAGATAAAATTGTGACCATTTGCCATATCCATGTGCAACAAAAAGTTCCAAAAGTGCTGTGACAAAACTGTCTCTTCATTCACACTGTAGAATCTAAATATTTTATATACCCTGTGCAGCAAACACAAAGCAATGTAAAGTTCTTTCACTTGATGGCTGTGAATTATGAAGCAGCTTCCAGTTTTCCTGAGACCCTAGGTGAGATCTAAGAATGCTTGCCAAGATGTGTCTTGTAAATAAATCAGCTCTATCTACAACACTAGCACTTTAAACAGATGGCCATTTAGAATTTGGTGTTTCACTGGGGAGAAAAAAGACGAGTAATGGGAGAGTGAAGAAAACAAACACCATATTAGAGTAAATCTTATGGTGAAAGATATTAATTGTTAACTACATTTTCTGTTTTTTTAATACAACACTGAATTAAAAGTGCCAACTAATTAAGATAAGGAAAATAGATATTCATAGCTACAGGATTTACAATTACAATAGTACTTTATTAAGGTGACGTTTGATGTATTCATAGTAAAAGAATGATTAATAGACAGTGTCAGATTCTTTATAATAAAGCATGCACATATGCAGATGCTTACCAGATGATACTATAAAATGCTTTTACATTCTGACAATCCACTAGATACTGCTATAGAAACTGCTTGCATACTCATTTGTGGGTCAGGCTTTATTTGCTATGGGATTCCTAGAATTTTAGAACTAAGCTATTTAAAATCTAAATAACTCTTTTTCATTAGGGGACCTGAGACAAATTGTATTTTCATTTTCTTAGCATACTATATTTATTAATATGGAAATTTTCATTCAATCCCATATTTGCACCTCACTTGTCCCATCATAACACAAATATATGTGTGTGTGTGTGTGTGTGTTGTCCCATCATAGGACAAATATG